ACACACACACACACACTCGCACATACACGTCCCTAACCCTCAGGGGGTGTACAATCTAAGGTCCCTAACTCACATTCATTCATACACATACTAGGGTCAATCTTAGACAGGAACCAATTAACCTACCAGCAAGTCTTTGGATTGCGGGAGGAAACCGGAGTACCCCGCGGAGGCCCACGCAGGCACAGGGAGAACATGCAAACTCCAGGCAGATGGTGTGGTTGGGATTCACACCAATGACACTAGTACTGCCAGACGGACATACTAACCATTTAGCCACTGTGCTGCCATGTTGATGAGAGGATGCAGAGATACTGACAGCTGAAGTTCTATGCAAATGTCAACATGTCCTGTAAAGCGGAGCTGTACTGTGCTCCCTCTTGACCCCGGAGCATCTCTACTACTCACTGGGATTGCAGACTACATTATAAAGCACAACATAGATCATGATGGGAGGTGAGCTTGATTTTTACAGGACAAAGTCAAGATTTGCATAGAACTTCAGCTGTTCCAGGATCTACCAACATTTGTTCTGAACGAAGGTATTTGCTTAGGCACTGCTGCAACATACGCCCAGTTTGAATCACCCAGCTAATGTGCAGCAAATCTTTCCCAGTGAAAGTTTATAAACGGTCTGTTATTGTTGACCTCCATATGGACATGAGTGCATATGGGTGCCTTCCTTTACACCACATACATTACTATCCACACAGAGAAACAAGGTATTCTATCTTCAGCAATCAATTATAGGATATAAGCGGATAATCGTTTGCACGCGGTCTTTTCCTTTTGATTGAGATTCCAAAAGAGGACTAGCTGTCAATCAAGCAGGGTAGGGGGTGTGTGTCAGCCTGTGATGTCACAAGCGAATACAGAACGCTGTGCATAGGCATGGCATCCTTTAGGACTCGCATCCGAACATGCCTGAGCTTATCCTTGATGCTCAGTATGGCCAATGGGGACTGGCAGAATCACGTGTTTAAAGCAGAACTAAACTTTCTCAACCATGAACCATTTTTAATCCTTATGCTGCTAGTCTTAGTAAATAGATAGGAAGGTACAGTGAAGGAAATAATTATTTGATTTTGAATGTTTGCCCACTCACAAAGAAATGATCAGTCTAAAAATCGAATGTTCGGTGTATTGTAACACTGAGAGACAGAATAGCAACAAACAATTCAAAAGAAATGCATGTCTAACAAATGACTGATCTGCATGTTCATGAGGGAAATAAGTATTTGATCCCCTATCATTCAGCAGGATTTCTGGCTACCAGGTGTCTTTCATACAGGTAACAAGCTGAGATTAGAAGCAGTCTCTTAAAAGGGAGTGCTGCTAATCTCATTTTGTTACCTGTATAAAAGACACCTGTCCACAAGAGCAATCAAACAATCAGATTCCAAACTCCCCACCATGGCAAAGACCAAAGAGCTGTCCAAGGATGTCAGGGACAAGATTGTAGACCTACACAAGGCTGGACTGGGCTACCAAACTATCGCCAAGCAGCTTGGTGAGAAGGTGACAACAGTTGGTGCAATCATTCACAAATGGAAGAAACACACAACTGTCAGTCTTCCTAGGTCTGGTGCACCATGCAAGATCTCACCTTGCGGAGTGTCAATGATCATGAGAACAGTGAGGAATCATCCCAGAACTACACGTGAGGATCTTGTCAATGATCTCCAGGCAGCTGGGACCACAGTCACCAAGAAAACAATTGGTAACACACTACGCTGACAAGGACTGAAATCCTGCAGTGCCCGCAAGGTCCATCTGCTCAGGAAAGCACATGTCCAGGCCTGTCTGAAGTATGCCACTGAACATCTGAATGATGCAGAGGAGGACTGGTTGAAAGTGTTGTGATCAGATGAGACCAAAATCAAGCTCTTTGGCATCAACTCAACTCACCATGTTTGGAGGAGGAGGAATGCTGCCTATGACCCCAAGAACACCATCCCAACTGTCAAACATGGTGGAAACATGCTGCTTTGGGGGTGTTTTTCTGCTAAGGGGACAGGACAACTGCACCAGAGGGACGATGGACGGGGCAATGTACTGTCAAATCTTGGGTGAGAACCTTCTTCCCTCAGCCAGGGCATTGAAAATGGGTTGTGGATGGGTGTTCCAGCATGACAATGACCCAAAACACACGGCCAAAGCAACAAAGGAGAGGCTCAAGAAGAAGCACATTAAGGTCCTGGAGTGGCCTAGCCAGTCTCCAGACCTTAATCCAATTGAAAATCTGTGGAGGGAGCTGAAAGTTCAAGTTGCCAAATGTCAGTCACCAAACCTTAATGACTTGTAGAGGATCTGCTAAGAGGAGTGGGCCAAAATCCCTCCTGAGATGTGTGCAAACCTGGTGGCCAACTACAGGAAACGTCTGACCTCTGTGATTGCCAACAAGGGATTTGCCACCAAGTACTAAGTCATGTCTTGTAAAGGGGATCAAATACTTATTTCCCTCATGAACATGCAGATCAGTCATCATTTGTTAGACATG